AAGGCGTAATGGCTAAATTTTGCTGCAAATATAAATAAGCATATGGTCGGATTCGTATTATCATTAATTCAGAAAAAGAGTTGTAGGTTGTTAAAATTTTACGTTTTAAATGATTAGATTTGATTGCGAAGCCGAGGCACTTAAAACACTGTCTTTGTTTTTGGCCGCTTCATTATATTTATGTGTGGTGTATATCGAAATTTCAGTGATGTCATTTAGTAAGCTTTGTATCAAACTTGTAAATTTCTGATGATGACAAGGAATAGAGTTTACAAATGACCAGGGACGGGGGTACCATTTTTGAAGAAAGCAACGAAGGTGCTATTTCCTTTCTATTGACTGCATAGTGTACCACAAACGTTTTTTTAATGGAAAATTGGAGTAATCATGTAATGTGTAATGACCAGGTATATCTAATATCGACATCGAATGATTTGAACATAATAATTTAATTGAAAGTTCAAATCTTCAGAATTTAAAATACTCTTCATTGTCTTTACTAAAAGCAAAGACTCTGTGAATTCATGTGGCTATCAATTACAGTTTTTGTGCAGCGTTGCTTATGCCGTAAGAACATAATGAAATATGTATTGCTTTTGTTTATAATCATTTGTTTACTATTCAAATTTAGTATTTTACATGTTGCACTTTATTACGATCACTTTTTAATAGCACTTCTGCGCAAAGGAATAGATTTAACAATTTTCGCAATATTTAGATTTTGAAAAAAATCTGCATGTTGGTGACAGGTAGCTGTTCTTGATTAGTTGTGAATCAAGCTTCCTCAGGTAACTCCAAGGTATTTAGCTTTTTCTGTTCAGGAATTGTATCTGTTATCTATTTCATGTGAATTGAGATCAATTCTTTTGCATTTGTTTTCATTCTTTGGACTTTCAGGTATCCTAGAAAATGTGAATATACCGTACGGCCGCTATGGACTTTCGGTGGGTCAAGATCAAATTTCTTTGCTCGAGACTGACAGGACAACATTGTTTAGATCTCCATCTTCAACATCATCATTTAAATCTGAAGAAATTTAATGTAGGAGGTCAACCATTCATTCAAGTTAATCATGCTTCAAAAAATGATTTTTACTTGAAGGATATCTAATTAATGAATTTTATCCAAGCTGGACAGGTTTCGCATGTAGTTGCCGCACGATGTAAATTGGATTTGTTAAAAAGATCACATGTTTAGTTGTTTCAATTTTTGACCACTGTTGGCAAGCCAAATAGTGAATATGTCAATAAATAAGAAACTTATTTTTAGGTGTTTAATGCATTGAAGGAATTTTAATTGAAAGAAGGTTTGCTTTTTGTAGTGGCCATTTAATCGATTGTTGAAATCGAGTATTGGAGTGAGCACAAATTTGGATGTATATCCATTTAAAATTTTGAAGTTTATAGAATCCTAATGCTATTGACCGCTTCGTGTAAGCGTTTTCTACATCATGGTGGCATGGATGTTCTTGAAAGTTTTATCTCTAAATAAGATCAAAAGAACGTATAGTGCTGGCAAATTTCGAAAGTAGAGAACGAACTGACTTAAAGCTTGTAAACATTACGTCTTTTTGTATTAGAATCTGTGCTCTCTTATCTATTGTGATAAGCAATAGAACATCCTACTGCGATAAGAATGGAAAATATTAAAGAAAAGCCAATTATATATGATGACGCAGAAGGTTTTAGTAAGAAATCATTCGATTTATTCCTGTCGCAAGATTTTGCCTCTTTCTTCTTCCAAAACTTTCAAACTTTTCCGAGAATTCACTGCGACAATTTATCGACTATGCTAATTTATCGTTGTTTACAGCTTGTATTTCGATGTATATAATTGAATTGTCAGCTCCCTACACCATACGTTTAATTTGCATGAATTTGGTCTGACTTATTGGAGAAGAAAGCATATAAATCTAAGTGCACCGGGAAAGGGGTTAAAGCAGCTATGTTAATTTTATTGACCATATGTCAAGGTCGCAAGAGAGCTCTTCAATTGGATGATTTACAACAAGAATAGCGGCTCATTAAGGAAAGCTTCCTTTTTTCTCCTTTATCAACAGCAAAACCCTCATTCGTATCTCCTTCAGGACAGCTCACGTAACTCATTAGCACGGTAAATCCCTCTTCTCCCTTTTTCATCATCCCTTTAATATTCTTTCTACTTTATGGTCATTTACTTGTTCATTTACCCAAAGGTGAGATCTCTAGGCGACCTTTGTTATGCAAATACATACATACACATACACACACGCACACTTCCTCACCAAACATCATTATCACTGAGATAATGTTCCCAGTCCCATTTTAAGGTAAAGACTACAATTAAATTTTACAAAAATGAATTTAAAAGAGACACCTACTTTCCCTCCCTACTAGTTGTCACAAATTTGTTGTTGAAAAGGTTGCATGAATTTTAAATGAATTCCCACTAAAATATGTGCAAAACTTAGTACAGCCAAAGGAAATCTCTAACAAGTTTAGTGCAGAGAGAACAATTTTAACAGATTGTCGCCGTAGCTGTGATAACTGTGTTTTTAGAACGATAATCACCTAACCGGACACTGTTAATAGATGTCAATGCTTCAAATCGCACAATTTAATGGCCGCCCTGCCTCATCCATCAAAAGAGATTGATTGTTTAGATAAGTGCGGATGGATCCGTCAGACTAGAACACTGCGATGGACAATGAAGATTTCATTTCCGATTCATGAGAACGAAAACGATTTTCCACAAGAAGTTCCATCTCCATACAACACTTCATTTCCAATTCCATACCGATAATACTGCACGCTTAATCTAATATAATTTGGCACTTCTGCAATCGATCAGACCAAGTCCAAGTTTTAAATTATCTCAAGCTACATACAATTTTTTTTCTGCTATTTGTTCTCGTTTAATTCGGCAACTGCGAATCATTGTTCTAAATCCTAAATTTAAACAGAGGACTGACTACTAAATGAAACCTGATAGCGGCAGACAACTACAACCTCACCATACCCATAAATCCGCACTACAGCGCAGACACGTTGCTTTTTCTAGTGTAATGGATTCCGCAACCAGTGTTGCACGTAATGCAATTTACCACAAATTCTCTTCTGCAAAAAAATTTTTTTTTCGAAATTCTCGAAACTAATTTTGCGACAACATTTGTATGGGGAATAACCCTGGAACTTTTCACTTAGCTGCATCGGAAGAGAAATCATAATTCAGTTCAAATGTACTTATCCAAACTCGCACTGTGCTGATATTTGTTATACATGATGTTTAACCTCAGGCGATTTACGTTTCAAGGATGATATCACAGAAATGTTTAATACTTCAAATCTGTAATTTTGAGATGCATTTCAGACAAATCCACAGCGATTTTGATTGTTTCCAGAATATTTTTAGAACCAGCTCTGTTAATGCTGATATTACGAAATTACGTCGCTATACATATTCTATGCCCATGGCGCTGTAAAGAAATCCAATGGTATTTATATTGCACCAACCACTTATACCATCTTTATTTAATCCATTTCAGGACTTAAAGCTTATCTTGAATCTCAAGATTTCTAGTAAAACCATGTACTATCCTACAGGTTCCCCGGAGAAACAAAACGTGATATAATAAGCGCTTAAATTACATATCATACAATATAAGCCATTCATTCACCACCGTATAGCTTATTCAAAGTTCACCTTAGCAAAAACACATAAAAAGGCCTAGCACGATCGAAACAGCAAGAATTGAAAGGTTCCCACTTCTTCAACAGTTAACGTGGAAATCCTAAAGAAAATATTTCAATAAATACATTATAATTAATTGAAGTTCCACTTCACAGAACAAATTTCAAGAGTGAAATTAGAAAGTTTCAGTCGTTAATTAGTCTCATCTAACTTTTTACGATCGTTCCTGTAAATCACTGTAAAAATGAAATGAACGATAATCGTGCTGAAAAATCGGTAGTAATTCAAATAGTGTATAATAAAACAAAAAATTAACTTGAAAAGCATGAAAAAATAAAAACAAAGGAGTTTGGAAGACATAAGTCTTAAAAATATTAACAAAATTGTAAGACTAGAAAACGAAGGGCGAAGTTGCTACAAGTTGGGTTTCAAACTTTTCGATAAATGGATCGTTGAATAAATAAGTTCGCGCGTAGTTCAGATATAAATTTGAACATCCCTTTTTATAGATTTGGACGGAAATTTAATGAAACTGCTGAATGTCAAAAACAAATTTAGCTTATTCTGGATCCCCGCGACAAATTTGACGAATTTTAACTGATCAACGGGTTTGTTGAACAACTAAATTTCAAATTGGCATCTATGTTCTTCTCATCAAATAATTAAGTGAGGTATGTAAGAGCTGCACAAAAAAAATTGAAATCTTTTTTTTACATTCGAAGCACCGGTGGTGGAGATCGAAGCATCATGACCAAAAAGCAATGATTGCACACGACAACGACAAAAAGTGGTTATTTTCAGATTACTGATGCAAACCTTTGTTTTGTTACTGAAGATCATGACTACAGAAAACATAATAAATCTATATCCAAGTAGTTCATATCAAATTCGTAATGGACGCTTCATTTCCATACAAACAAAACCTATTTTACGTCAAGCAATATTGGCCATGATTTTAGCATCCTTGACAATCAAAAGGCAGAGAATATATGAATTCTTTCAAATTGAAATCGAATTTTAATAACAACCGAATTCCTAAATCAAGGACGTAAGTCACTAAAAAATGGTACTGGACTTATATATGACTTTGTATCAAAAGGTATGAATAGAACTAAGCGAAACAAGGACAACAATTCTATATTTCTAGCACCGTATATTAATTAATAGCTTCACAGTTCACGCAAATCACAACTAACAAATTTCACAATCGTGGATTAAAGATCTTTGAAAAAACTGTCAAGTCCCACAATATCTTAAAGGCTCACCAGGAAATTGAAGTGAGCCGCATACTCCTGCAGTAAAAAGTGTATAAGTTCACTGGATCAAATCCATTAGTCTCTATAAGGCTTGCAATATGAATAACGGTGATTCATATGTTGCGAATAGCTGCCCGAATGACTAAACCGCTTCAGACATTTGTCACACTGAAAATCATTAGTCTCGCTTAAATATTACTGGAATCATTCATTGAAACTTCCACCCATAAAAAATTTAGATAAAATTAAATAAAGAAAAAATTTTTTATTGGCGTACATCGCATATTTCTTTAAGAAGCTGCACTAAACCGAAAATGGCTCATTCCTGCGAAAGAAAGCAGATATTACACAACCTCAAACTATTGGCAATATCTCGAAAAAAAAATCGTGCTAAATAAAGAAACTAACCTGGAAAGGTTTTTCACCCGAATGCAATCTTTTGTGTTCCGTAAGATGGTGTTTGTGTTTGAATGCCTTCTCGCATACGTCACATTTGTAAGGACGTTGCCCTTTATAAAAATTCATTTTCAATTAACGGCTAATTCAAGCTAATATGATTTTTCCGCTTATGGTCCAAAAAATATTTGTCGCTCGCTCAACAAATCACAATTTTTGTATTGAAGTTGTAAAAATAAATTTGGAGTGGATCAACACAGGAACGGCATGGCTTCGCAATTGTTCCAATCACAAATCAGTGTTTTGATATAGCAATCAAATATCTCATAATTTATGTCCTCATTTCACTGAATTCTTATTAACAAACCAGAATGTTCATATTTGTGCCTTGCTAACGAACTCTGCTTTCCGAACATTTTATCGCACTGATCGCATGCATAGAGGCCTTCTTCATCAGTTCTATGTGATTTCCAGTTTAAACGATGGCGCTTGTCACCTAGTGAAATGTCTGACGCGTTGTCATCATTGTCATCACTTTGCTTAAATTTGGTAGTTTCAGAATTTATTTAAAGCAATCTGCCGAAGAAATGAATTCATCAGCAATTACCCTAACATTATTTAATGACATGAAACACCTAATGATTCATACTACCAAGCACCAGTTGGTCTGTATGGAGAGTAATGTAAGGATATAGCGGCATATCTAGACAGTTTAATAAACCAAATCTCATAAACCTCTCATAAAAAAAATCCTACTTCGCATTACAAACGACCTTTCACAAAGATGTATCACTTACACAAAAAAGGTACATACCTCCAGAACTTTTTGAAGATTTGCTAAACCGTTGATACCCAGCATTGAGTACTGTGACATGAATACACTGCTGGGCCAAATACTCGACGACAGTGCAGCAGCCGAATTATCGTCCAATAAGCCAACTTCTGAATTCGATTCACCTTCCGAATGAGATCTGGATGCCGAAGAAAGTACTGTTGGTGGAGTCTCCGAACGACCCTTCGTAGCTTGCATTAGAGTTCCACTTATCGTTTCGCTTCCTTTTGGAATAAATCCTGAATTATTTAAGAGATTTCGAATGAAATATGAAAAATAATTTCCTTACAATTCGCCGTCAGACTTTCTGCTTTTTTTGAGTGCTTTTCTAATCAAATTTTATAAAAAAAATCACGAATCGAACCAATGAGACTGCTAGCAGACCAGCAATCATCCTGATTAAAGTCTTGTCTTCCTCCATCTCCTTCGACTCCAAAAACAGATGTTTGCTTAGTTGGAACTGCTGTTACTATAGTTGTTTCATCCTTAATTGATAAATCAAGCGGTTCATTTGATGATGATAAGTCAGTTTTCGCTGCTTGCTCACCCTGAGATACAATCGTGTTATATTAAATGCACTTGAAATAAAAGCTGTTTCAAATTCACCAGTAAAGAAACATGTATGAAATGATGACAAAAATAAAACCAAATAATTAAAGAATACGACATAAACTAATAATCCTTACTGATAGGCTGTTGTTCACAAGATCGGTACATTGATGTGCCCAAGCAGTCATCAAACTTAAAGGATCATTAGCATTTGCTACTGCCGTAGCAGCACTTTGAAATGATATCGCATTATTCCACATGGAACGTGAGTATCGTTCACAAGCTACACTTAACCGATTACTTCGTCGTTCCTTAGCTCGAGTATTTTGAAACCATACCTGCAGAAAACAATGAACAAAACAAACTTCGATTAAAGGTAAATGTGAAAAGATGCCCTATCACAAATTTCGTCCATGCAACGACAGAAAAGATGTTCTGGAACTGAACAGTACACAGTAAAGTGGAAGATTATAGCAAGTGACCCATCTAACACTCCCCCTTTTGCTAACATTATGGATAAAATTCATCCTCGACGCTGCACATACCGACATTACTAATTAATGTGAAATTGCAGAGACTTGAATTTTAACTTTTCGGTAGTTATAACACCTTTACACTGGAATGGAGAGTAACACAGATAAAAGCTATTCCAGTTAACATATAAATATGGCCTGCTATGCTCAAGTGACTCTCTTCAATCCTTATAATTTAAACAGAGTTTCTTAAAAGTGGAAATGGCTACGGAATCAATGTCCATGACTTCCTCTCCACTGCATGTTAGCAGAGAAACGTCAAATTTTCAAAAATAACAAGTAAGGATCCCCCAATTCCGCACTTTTCACTATAGTTCAGAGAAAGTGAGATAATGAATTCGTAAACTTTGTTTTAACTTTCACTTTCTACACAGTTTGAATTTCATTATCGAATTAGCTAGTCTTGTAACACAATATGCAGATAATAAGTTAAACAGTATACAAAAGAACCAGCGCAAATTAAAAAATATTTGAAAACGAACAAACCTGTACTACTCTTTTATTGACCCCAATTTGTTCAGCAACAGCAGAAAGTTCATACTTTGATGGAAATGGGTTACGTTTGAAGTGAGCATGAAGTATAGCAACTTGAGCATCGGTAAGAAATGAACGGGAGCGTAAGGGCTTCCAAGTAGCACCACTACCAACAATACAGGAACTTGGTAAATCAGATCCACTTTGCACTTCCTGATGTTCAGCACTTTCACCAGAAGAAAGCGACCTTTCCAGATCATCATGGTGTGCAACATCATCCTGATTAGTTTTTTCACTGTTAACACATGATCCTTTCAACAGTGTGTCATCCTTGGTACCATTTTCAATACCGTTCTTATTAGACGCGTCTGTAGAAACCGTTCCTTCTACGGTGCAATTACTATTGCTCAAATGACAGGCCCAATAGTTGGCCAGTAATGCCGATGGTGAGGTTGACGAGGCGGTGCTACTCGCTGCCTTGAAACAATAATTTAAAAAAAAAATTTTTTCCTTTGAATATAACTGGAGTAACTAGACAAAACGTAATGATGGAGCGAGTATTGAAACAATATTAAAAATGAAGGGGAGAAAATTCGGCGAATAAAACCTTAATAAAATTTGTAATACTGTGAGTGTTTTTGGTGAGTATTAGGGATTCTTGTGATTTGCCCTGATGAGTACTGTAAATGCATGCTGTAGTCTTAAAAGAACTGTAGAAACTGTAATGTAAGTAATGATGAGGAAGGGAGAGGAAGAGTGTAAAGCGACATAGTTTATTGTTCTTGAATTGTGTTTAGAACACCTGTGTGATTAAGAGTCCTCATATTGCTAATTTTTGTGATATTATATCCCAAAGAGCACAGATTTAACGGCACAGAATACACTCCTCCATCTCTCTGCTCTGCTCTGCTCAGCTCAGAAATTTCCTGCTTTCATTGTCTCCCTTCCTTCATTATTTGCACTTCAGCTGCAGACAGCAAGGGTCCTTGAAACACCTAGCTATCTTAGTTGTATAGCTAATCTTACACAGACCAAACTCTGAGCAGCGATTATAAATGAAGACAAAGTGAGTCAGATACATTGAATGACAGTTTTCAAAACCGCAAACATTTTTTGTAACATTTCACTAAAGTGCTGACCCTCTTCCCCAAACTTAAATTTTCTTGCTGACATATATCTAATATTCCTGTTGATGGAAACCTAATTTCACTTCACAACGACAAAGTTTATATGAGGTGATGTAGAATCAAAATTTAAATTCTTTTTGAAGAAAAATAAGCAACACCTGTAAAAATTGCTGTTGCAATAAGGCCGTATACGGACCGATATTTGAATATGCAAAATTATGTGCTGTCTGGAACTGCAACAAAAGCGCACGGTAAAGTACCATTTGGTCACCAAACTCAAATGCTGTTGATGAAGCTTGTGTTGCAGCTGCTGTACATTTCTTGCTACTCATATGGGATGAATACGAACCCGAATGTGAAAATCGCTTCTGACAATGTGGGCACTGCAATGAACATTTTACGAATACATAACGTGAAAATATATCATTGATAAAACTATATTATGCTTATATATTCAGAACAATAAGAACTGTCAACAAAATTTTCAATTCTGTTCATGCTTAGACGCGCTTACTTTCCCAAACCTGTCATATAACAGTGTCAGACATGATTGATGGTTATAAGTTAAAAAATAAAAATCACCAAATATTAGCAACACACCATGACAATGCAGCCAAAAAACATACAATAAATGTTGCGATAAGACTACGTCATGTAGAATTGGAATAAACAGAACGCCAAATGATTTAAGACTCTTTGCTCATAATTCCTTACTATTGTAATGATCCATTACATAATTCAGTGTTTTGATGCAAATAAGGGATAATTAGAAGAATAACGTGAAAGCCTTTTATATTGCTATTGCTAGAATAAGGTGGACTGTGAATTTTTTCGATAGGCAAAATGATTATTTTCAAACAATCCGTACATGCTTTCCTTGAGCCTATGTAAACATTTCATGCCATCATTAGATATGCGATAGGACTCTATGGAAAAACATAAGCATAGAAGGAAGGAACAACCTAATAAACAGAAATTGCAATAAAATAAACGGAATGAATGGAGATGGGGCTTTGGAAAATTTCACAAAGTTGATAAAATGGAATCAATACATACGCGAATCATATCTCGGAACATGGTTCAGCGAGGCAAGATGGTAAATAATTAAGTCTTGAAACATATGGCCGAGAGGTAACAAAACTTCTATTTATTCAGCCCTTTAATGGATAAATGTGCAGCTAAAAGTCAAACACTGTGATGCACGGATTTCCGGTGTTTTACAAATAAATTATTCCATTAATGCCATTCCTGGCTAATTAATTTTGAACTGCTTAACTATAGTTGATCGATCACCGATGGCATTTGTCTCAGCCGAAAATTTCGGGAATATACTTCACCACATTTGATAATACCAAACAATTTTCATTCGTGCATTGCAATGAGGTATCTCGGTGAAATTTCGAGGAAGAATCGAGAGTGACACTCAAATATTATGCACCCAGAAAAGCCCAGTTTCGAAATAGCTCTATCAAGAGGCATGAAACAATCTTAACTTACTAAAAAATGATAGAATTTCTCAAATGAGCAAAATTCCTTCCCAAGATAAATGTTGCCAAGTATTTGCCAAACACAATAAATATTGATATCAGTGGAACAAACAGTAATGAAGGAAAGAGTACAATGAAATTAGCAATTACGCCCCCTTGCTATTAAGGTATCCGTTGTGATATTTCAATCTATCGGCATTCACTTTCTTAGTCATCGACAACATCAGCTGACCAATGGACAATGATCCTTACACAATGGACAATCCATAGGCTCGATGAAATACCCGATTCTAATGCAAACATAAACTATCTGAATTTTAAAAAAGTTCCAAAGTTACGCCTATTTAGTACTCTCATTTCCTTCTAAGACTTTTCATAGCCTAGTTTTCCAATTATCAGTGTTAAAACAATTGGAAGGATAGGATTAAAATTACAAAATTATAAAATGAAATGACTGTGACGTGCGTACTTCGAATATGGAACCATCACAACGATCAGCATTGTCTCGAGCAAATAATTGTACCACACAAAAAAGATTGCAAGGGTACGGTAACTGGGATAGGTTGTGCATAGAATGCGTAAATGCAAAAATCGCGAACATACGGAGACACACACCTGCTCAACATATTACTATGTCTTTGTTATGTATATAATAATCGCTGTTTAAGCAATAGAAATGGTTGGATGATGCAGCAGTTATACGGTAACAAGAAGAATCCTAATCAGACCCAAATATTCCTGAATCCTATTGAATACCAATGCCACCTCTACGCTCCAGACTTAAAAAGCTAGATGCATAATTATTAATATCATTTACATCAAAAAGTAGATGTAGATATGTAAGAGTTAAAAAACTTAATACACCGTGTCAACATTCTACCGGAGATTTATTATTAGTAAACAATCAATACACTTAATGCCAGAAAAATATTCATCAAGTATATACTGTCGCAGTGCGAAAAATACTAGTAAAGCAGAATATCCACCAATGATTTAAAAATAAATATAAAACTGATGAATATCAAAGATTTTAAAATAATAACTGCACATGAGAATGCGTATATTTATCGATGGAAAAGGTAGGACCACTTATAAATTTTTGGGAAATTTTTATAGGGCAGGGAAAAAAGGTATATATATACTCATTCCTACGTATAAGGATGGAGCGAGGAAGGGAGAGTTGGAGGAGGAGGAAGGGAGGAGGGAAACACGGGTAGAGGGAAAGGGGAAAAGTCGGGAAGTTTTATCGGGAGCGCGTGGTGCGCTTCATTGATCCCGAACAGGTGTTCCTTTTTTCACCTCCCAAAGCAGACATATATATACCTTTATAACCTGTTTGTTCGCAGGATACTTTGCGCTCTCTATCATCACATCGTCAGCAACCAAAAGGGGGACATCTCCTTTAAAACGGTTTACAATGATCAGCAGCAGCATTAAGAAATGGCTTGGAAAGTCATCATGTTTTGGGGATAAAAACAAGTAAAGTCTGTATTTCTTACTTTCAATTCAAAATTCGCCGTGCGATCTACCGCACATCAACAACTAAAAAGCGACTCATATAATACATAATAGTCACATTAATAAAATCGAGAAAAGATGTTTTATAATTTCTCCCACCAAAACTGCACTAAGATTGATATGAAACTTCAAATTTCTAATGCTTCTTAAGTAGAATAAAACAACCACATCAAATTTGTTACATCATGTGACATTATTTGCATTTTAAACGTATTTCAGATGGGAATCATTTTGTACATGTATTATGTGATAGTTTATGTCTCCAAAATGCTTTATAATCATTCTTAATTACATCTTTGCTATCTTTCTTTTGAAAAGTTTACACGCATGAATACAAAGTATATGAAGGATATCAAAAGGATATTATAACAAGAACAGACGCGCACAGAATGAAATGAAGAAACACCTGGCGATCTTCTATATGGATGAAATCTACTAAATAAAACCAGCAAACCACCTAAAGTATGCCTGGCTAGGCATCCTTGAGAATGACTGAATTAAAGACTGTAGAATGTAATATCTTTATACATACAACATATCTATTTTTTGTTTTTCCTGTGCATACATGAACTATACGTAGACGATGTTTGATCTTGTTAATAATATCTCATATATGACCTAAGTTTGATCAAAGTGGTGGTTAAGAAAAACAGCACACAATACGGATAACACAACTCATAATCTATTACATATTGCATATGCTCAATTTCAAAGGACCATACATATCCATAGATTTATGTGTATCTCGCCATACATCCTGTTACACTTTCATTATTAACACCATTACTACAACTAATACTACCCTGTCATCTCTACTGATATTGCTTATTTCTCCTGAAAATATCCAAAAATCATAATATTCCTAGACTTCCATCAGTTGTCTGATTTTGCGAAGTTTTTTCAATTTGTAAAAATATAAAACTTACACCACAAACATACTCAGAGCTTAAAAAGAGACCCGATAATTGGTGCTGCAATTTGACACCTCGCTATAAGTTCATTATTGCTACTGGTTGCACAATATAAACAAAATCACCCAAAGTTAATTTCTCACGGTATACGAAAATCATACTTTTTCGACTGCAAGGGAATTAGCTACCTTCTTTCATACCTTCTAAAACTTACTCCACCCAATTACCAGTTTGCTTCGGATGATAAATCTGATGCTTCAATGAATCACCTTTCTGCTTATAGCCTACATGATCTAAAATATATAACACTAAATGATTCAAGCCCACCTCCTTTTCCATGCACACCAACCAACTAATTTCATTCAAATAATTCTCGAATTTGTAAAGTAATAGATAAAAGCTTAAGCTAACTAGTTCAGCTATTGGGTTCAGTCAAGCTAATTAATTCAATCAATTGTCATGATGTTATGAGAACTCTCTCCGGTCATTTCCTTGTCCCCAATTCCTGAAATAAACTTCCTGTTCGCCTCTACATGAATGAGGTAATGTCGTAAGAGAAAGAGATTTCAAATGGACATAATTTTTTCTCGACATATTAAAAGATGAAACGAGCAGCAAATTTTTGGAAGAACTGGTCAACTGGTTTCAGCGAAGAGAGTACCACATTGATCGCGCACTAAGCATATGCATTAAAATAAATTCACACACATTACTCACAAAAGATTGTTTTTTCTTAACAAAATTTATACAAGAGAAAAAAAATATGAAGAGGTGTCAATAGAGAATATAACAAAACTTTTGATAAAACACTTCAGCAAATTGTGTAATAGAATGATGAAAGTAAAAATGGAAGTCTCATTGTAATCAAATGTTCGAGTACTACTTATGAAAATAGAGGAGGATTATCTTTGTATGGAAAGTGTTTAAACAGCTCGGAAAAGATAAAAGAAAAGTTTTGAGAGGAACTGTGAAGTGCAAACCTGGAAGGGCTTTTCACCACTGTGAATTCGGATGTGCTCCTTGAGATGATGCTTGAATTTAAAAGCTTTCGGACATTCTGAGCACTTAAATTTCCGCAGTGCTTCATCGGAACATTGTACAGTGGCTTTAAGACGCTCACCAACGTAAACGGCGCTGGATGTCCCTGCTACTGTAGAGTCCTTCGCCGTATCCAAAACTCCCAGCATCTTCCTACTCCTTTTTAGTGCTAATAGTGGTCCGCAGTTCTCCTTCTACGACCACATACCACAGATATAAAATACTGCAATTTAACTGTAATTAAATACATGCAATATACTAAAGCACGAAATCGTACAAATCGATCAGAACAGATACCAAATGAAAACCTTGACAATGAAAAAGATAATCACGCATCTCCTGAATGATTATCCTTTAATAATGTACGGACTGACCGATTCAGCAAACGATTATTTTACAATTTTCGAGAATGATAAGCACTGATTTACAGAGGTATGACAAAACTGTCAGATTACTCACGTATCGATCCCTTGTTACTGGCTTATAATACCATATCATTCCGTTCGGTCCAGACATTGGTTTTGTCCTTTTTGCCCATATATTATAACAGAACAGATATATACAGATTCTCTATTTCTAATCAAGCAAACCACATCATTGTAAAGCATAACATCGAAATTCTGCCCTCAGTTTATCCGTTTCTTGCATGTCCTCAAGTATTCAAAAAAATTTTCCTGCCAATGATTTCCCGATTACTTCAAAAAACACGTGCCGGACGTGCAGTTCACATCAGCAAGTGAACTCAGTGCCTTATGTAGTTTCGATGAATCTAGTATTGAAATAACACCTAAAAATGAATACAGACAGTAGGGTTATGAGAGAGAAGTTGGAGAGCACGGGAGGTAGTGCGCTGCGACGTTAAAAAGAAGCATTTTCATTTGGGATGAAAGGGAAGGAGGAAGCATCTACACAAACATGCACAGGTGTTCTATTTATAATGTTTCGAAAAATTCGTCGCACAAAGGATGTAATGGATTGAGAAAACAACTGTCAAACATGATCTTATTTCAGCAGCACCTGAGAAATTGATCTCACTCCACTCGTGTAACTATATATACTATCTATTAACGATACAGGTGAACAAAATATTCATTTCTCTAACTATTGTTATAATTTCATTAACTGAATGCAAAATTCAAGCAATTAATTGGACTTATTTAATGTATCTGATAAACTACATAATCATAAACACGTCCACAGTGTTGAAAATCAAAAAAAAAACTGTTGATATTGCTTTAGATGATAAAGATAAATGACAATTATATGGTAACAGAAATGGAGTAATTTCAAACGGTCTAAAGCAAACATACAAATAAGCAAATAAGTATGAGCAACACCCAAAAAGGTGTAACTTCGAACAAAACACATCCTCAATATTCTGCAGAAGTTAATAGTGAAATTTGCAAAAAAAATTTTCATCATATGGTCCAGAGATACAAAAGCGTCTAAGTGAGAGAAACAGCTTCGCCTGATCAGAAGTTTGCTGTGAATTACTGATGTCCAAGGCTGAAAGAACTTCGTTTAAACTAGTCTGTACAAAAGTGCTGCGCTGTGCTCACACATCGTTGATTGATCTAGGAAGTAAAATTATTTTTGTTTATAGTTCCAATAAATACCTCTACAGCGAATTATTTTTATAAACATATCGAATGACAACTTGAATAACTTATTGATAGATTACATTATTGAAAAACCATTTGACTGACTCAAATTCATTACCACTGCCATATTAATTAGTGATTAGGTTTCCTGACAGAGCTGTTTCATGGTTATTCCATAGAGGGTCTACAAGCAGCAATGGTTAAACTGTGTGGAACTGTGGTAGTGTATATGCGTAAAAAATTCGAGGCACGGTACTGGCAACAGAACGTCCATATTTGGTAACCTAATCAGTGATCAGTGAGTAAATTAAAACAGATAATATCGTAAACCTTTTTCAAAAGGCGTACACAGGGTGTGCATGACATGCGAAGTATCCAGGGCGTGCATGACATGCGACCGCATCAAAACCAAGAGGCCAGACAGAAAAAGTACCACGGCGCCTTGGTACTGATTTTTTGGAAATCACTACAGAAGTGAAAATAAAATTTATTTTGGATAAAGACACGAACCAATATACTTCTTGGCCTTATCATGAAAGTTTTGTGACGCTGAGCAAATGGTGCATTATAGCTCGACGTCTTTTGCTATACTAAACTCAATTTGTGAAACCGGCAGATAATGAGTCACGGTGAATTTAACAAGAGTGTATCTTTAGCTATGATAGCTTGACTTCGGCAAAAATTTGTCCTCCACAAAATAGAATGATTGTATGTTGAGATTTCGTTTTGCCAAATATGAAGTGAAAGCTCAGAATAAGCACAAATAAACAGGAATAGAAGTGGTGTTTACGTATACATTAGTGGTTACTTAGGAAGAAAACATAAGGACTCATAAGGAACCGGCGCTTAAAAATGACCATGCTCTCTTTTCCTATATTTACAATGTGTAGTTTAATAAAACAAAAAAAAATGTTATTTTATAATTGCCTTTCTGGCAGCAGTTGAAAAATTAAAACATGCTGATGCCAAACACTTACTACAATTGAATTATGTAGTGCTTAATCTGGAAAAGCTCGTCAAAGAACAAATGTTTTTCTTGCTTTTATGATGTATATCAAAGTCGATCCATGATCATATATCCCAATTCTCCAGATTTTCTTAAGTGATTCTTGGCGGTTGGAATTATTTCGTTGATGAACTCGGGCAAATAATAATATCTTGAAACTACAAAATAACACTTTTGACACGTGAACTTTCCTCAAGTTCCACAAGATTAGCCATTTTATAAAGTGTTCCGTTCCCTATTGCAAGTTGAGATTAAACAAGAGCAATTAAATTTATGATAGTGAAATTTGAAGCTTGTGTTAAGAGAAAAGCAGCATGTATTGCACAGATAGGAGAATTGCAGCATCGAGAACATGGACATGACGGAAATGCCCGTTTTGATGAAGCAGCAAAAAAGGATGAAACGATGAGGAAATGGGAGGGAGCTGATGATTTCACGATAGGTGGAGAAGAAGGTAAGGCGCTCCAGCAGACCGAACAGGACGATTGAGACATTAAGTAATTGGATAAGAGAGATGAGGTATAGTAGCGCCAGAGACAGGCCAGCTAAAATAGATTAGTTTGAACCCATCTGTCCTGCTGCCCTTCATTTCTTCCTCTTTCCCAATTCAATGCTATTGCTATGCTTCAATCATCCTTTAACAGCAGTCTTATCTCCTTCCAAAGTATTTCCTACACTTAATGCAGAAACCTTTTACAGCTTCATCAACCGGTCAGCAACTAATTCCTTGTTCTTATGGTTCCGGTATTGATGGTTTAGGATGTTTCTTTTAGAAACATGAGAATTCCTCCACTGAAAATGCACTCAAGCAAATTACACTTCATACTACACACAATTAGAAATATCTCGTGGCAATGAAAGAGGACCAATAGTATCTGGAATAACCTCAGCTATACAGAATATGTAAAACACAAGATTCTGACACGCGTAAAACGAGAATAAACACCAATTCCTCTCATGTAATGCAACCAACCACAAAGAGATAAAATATATACATTTCCCAAAGAAGTTTTTAAATTGTAAACTGTTTTGAAATTGGGTGATTAAAGTGAAAATGAAATTTTTAACCAAAAGCAACAGTCATGTTCATCAGCTACAGATAATTTTCAGGGACTGTGAAGGTTCATATAAGATGTTATAGTAAATGAGGGACAAATGGTAATTATTGAAAGTAAATCTTCTGCGGGGGTTGTAGGCGGGGTGAAAAGGAGAGATGTTTGAGCAACAATACAGGTGCTCATCTGTATAATCCCACGGTCAACAACAGATACAAAGGGCTGTAATCGAACAAGGAAACGAAAGAGGATAAGATATTTAGTGGCAATTAGGGAAGTGATGCTGAGGACGGGCGCATATATATATATATATATATATATATACATATATTATATATATATACGGGAGTCTGCTGCAACTCTAAAGGAGGAGAATCGGAACATAACAGGAGGAGCATACAACTGCGGAACAGATGGTCTCTTCTCCAGAAAGAAGGAGGTAAATGAAGGTCGTGAGCTCTATTTTAGGGGTTAACAAGCTTCTTTAACGGTCACTATCAATGTGTGCAACCGACAGAAGATGCCCAAATATGACCCTCACAGAAGTTCGTCTGTTTTACATTTCTCTTTTTTCTCATTTATTTTTGCTAACTCTATCCATTCTCCCACTTTTCATATGCAAATCTCGATGATCAAAATCATATCTGAAATGAACACAGCAACTTTTAAGATCGCATTGGAGTACGATGACAAATCGTTTAAGCACTATATTTTCTGTATTTTATCCATAAGACATAAAGGGCGAAGTCATTTTGCTGACAACATATTTGCATGTCCAAGGTTGCCTCATAAGCTATAAAAACAAAAATCCAATCAAGATCGGCATTGCTAACGAATACTAACGAACGAAAACAATGCATTACGCGGCTAACAAGGTTAGTATGACAAATGCAAGTCCATCTGTGATATCACATGGAGCTCTCAAAGTTTAGTATAACATCTTCATTGCTATCTGAAGTCGTGTTATGTATGTATGTTATGCCCCGCCATACTCAGTGATTTACGCACATCGTTTTTCCTGGTAAGGAACATAATTTTGCCAAATGTATGTTAGTCCGTCTTCAAAACACATGAACTGAAACACCATCTATCATATAATTTGCAGAGAATCATGGGTGATACTCTTAATTTCTCAATTATACGATTCCAGAATTCCGCTCTTGAAAGAGCACCAAAGAATTTCAATAGAAGTAACTGGAAAAACTTCCTCACTTACAAAGAGATACAAAACTTATCAGCGAAATAATGAAAGTAAAACTCGTCTAATTTAAGCGTTACTCTCCACTTCAAAATATTCCCACCGCAATCAGATATCTTTTTCCAGCAGTCTGTCACTTCACTGACGAGTCGTAATAAGAGAACTTCAAATTGTGATATACTTTAAAAGCGCGAAATTGTTTTCTTGTAAGTTTCTCACACCAGCATCCCAACTAGACAAAGAAAAGGTGCTCAGATGGCTGAAATGGTGATATTTGAAGAAGACAAAAGAAACGAGTAGACTGATTAACTCATTAACTAGCCGATCAACGGATGTTGGCTCAAACTAACACTATACGCTATCAAAAGTACTAACCGTTCTGGTATACGGTAATAAAAGATTTACAAAAGTGTAGGAAGCAATGAAGGTGGAGTTGGATAAGGGAGGGTTACTGGAGAGTGCCGATTTTGCACCTGTTTGTTTAAGGATTGAGAAGGATGGGGTAATGGGATATTTTTCAATATACAATAATGCTTGCTTGGCAGCTGCTTCATCCCCTCTTTTCTTCCTTTTCCCTCCCCCTCTCATTTCCTTATTCTCCCATTATTACTACTAGATAATAAGTTACAATACCTATTTAGTTTATTACTGACAGATAGCGCGCATTATTGCATTTATTAGGGAGGGAAGGGGTAATCAAAAATTTTTCTAACTCTATTCCAGTTTATTGTCAATTTCTCAACAGCCAGAGCTCTGACTCACGGAAAATGCCGTCAACAACAGTATTAAGTATGAGAATCTATAGCTTCTGTTAAACTGTATGTTCTCGACTTTTTGAAATTTGTTGGTAATGAGGACACTCTGAATGAATCTTCAACACTTCATATGAAGCTGTTGGCTAAAAACCTGTTCGAGAATTTCATGCCTGTTGGCTTTATTTTCAAAGTATTGCTCTAAGATTTCCTATTCTATTTACGCAATTCTTTTGAACATAATTATAATGCTTCGAAAGTGAAAATGAGATATATATTTCAAATCTAAATATTCTATGCATAAAGGAGAAAAGGGACACGAAATTTTGGAGGAACAGTTTAGCTAGTTCAGAGAGATTGATGGTAAGATCTATATCCAAACGACCAAAAATTTTTGAAATTGAAAGGTTATAAATTTGGACAACGGGGAAACAAAATTGCGGCAGATGTTAATAGCGGTGGTCGTCCAGCTTTGTTCAAAAATATTTTGTGAGAGGAGCAAAAACGATGATACCTTGTTGTCTAGCTGCCCCACTACCAGAAAACCAACAGGTGGTATTTGAACTCTCATGTCAATAAATTTGATTTTTCCGTGTTTATTCACCTATGATTGATTTAAATATCAGCTGCCATAAAAATTTGCATTTTCCTAAAGAGGATGGAAATCGTTGTGACATGAAATAACTAGCACTATCTCAATATTTACTTGTACACTTTTTCTTTATAGTATAATATAGTCCATATTTTTTTACCCACTGCTATGAATATAAATCAAATTTAAACTAGGTATACCAAGCGCAAATTGAGTTATTATTCATTTCAGCAATAAAAAGAAATGCAATCCATGAGATTTCCATTTCCTTGCCGTTCCTAGAATATTTTACTTTTCATAAAAATAATTAATTTTATTAAAGGAGCAGGTCACACAGTTCTTAGCACTTAATGCGAGGGTAAATGGAAATAAAGTGGCACAGATATTAATGTGATGTACATAAATGGTGTTCCGCTTCAGCCTGTCTTCCACAGTTTTACTTAGTTAAAACGAGCAACACCTCATCCCTGCACTCTGAACCATGATTTTTTCAAAACCTATGATTCTACATCCCTTACTCTCATAAGTTTCTATCTCCAATACACTTGCAATCAGCACTTTTGAAAGGCTTTTAAACTCCAAGAGCAGAAATTCTGTCCATTCAAACAAATTTAGTGAACCTAGTCTCCGTTGAAAATTTCATGAGCTTGATTTTACAGTAACTTATAACGAAAACATCTAAATAACTACCATAGTGAATTTATTTAGCTTATTGCTCGCCAAATTTCGTCGAATTATCCATATAATCAGAGGTATTAAAATATGGACTTCCGTAAAAACGAAATGAGACGGTGAACGTTATTGTGTGTGGTGTATGTGTGTATATGTGTGTGTACGTGTGTGTCTGTTATGTTTGTGAAACCAGGGCAGGTGCGGTCATATAAATTACCGTAGCCCAGAAACAAAAAAAAGCATTCGTCGTGTATATATGAGGAAGTTCCATGTTAAAACTGGGATGCCGTGTTTGTGTACAATTTTGTGAAAATTTCTTCGCAGAAGTGCTGATGAAGATCTTATATAAGCAAAATGGCTGGGTCTACAAAACTAGGAAATATTCTCACCCACATTTTTTTCACCTCATTTTTAACTAAAATGCTGATGTGTGTCCGTGTCTTTCTGGGAGATGGTATGCAAATGAGTATATTTCTTGGTTAAAATGAATCATCTATTTCGTATTGTAAAGTTAAAGACAATTGTCAATTAACTAGAAGTGATAAAAATAGGATTGAACAAACTTATGGATCATGATGGTAGTAATAATGTGCCTTAAATGTACCACATCACTTCCTGGACAAGAAACGTGTCGGTTGAAACCAAGCGGAAGATAGAGATGAAATCCCGAAATTTAACCTACAGTTTTTGATTATGCCCAGTGGGTTTGTCTCACAACAAATTTGTAATGTTACCTAATAAAGTTCAATACAATTCCAGGAACCTCAGTGCAAGGCAGAGATCCATTGGACGAAAGAAGTGAAAAGGCAAACTGGTGGAAATCTAAACAAGCACGCTGAAGCCATTGTTGGAGAGAGAGTAAGTTGAAATAGATGAATACCGTTGGCAATAAAATGGTATGCGAAGAGATAACGCTGAAAGCTACTTCTAACTGCTTACATTTAGAGCAGAAGTCAAGGGTTAACATCTGACATCTATCAGTGGTAATAGCTACATGAGAACAATACAAATAAGCCTGAGCAAAGATAAACTCTGAGTGCAACGTGAAAAGATGAAGGGAAAACAACAAAAATTTCTAAAGGGACAATAAATTATTTTAATGTAGTGGAAGATATTCATAGTGTCAAGAAATATTTCGAAAGAAGCTGTACTGTGGGATGGCCGGATGAGAAGGAAGATCTTTAACTAAGGCGGCGTTTATAAGATGAACGAACATGAAGCATGCAGTGAGGAGGAAATCTCAAGGGAATTTATGGAGAAGATACTTACAAATACAACAATAAGTTTGCTCAATCACACATAAAAATAATGGAAAGTGTGATATGGATGGGAAGGGAGTTGAGGTACCTTTTGGATACACTAAGTGCCGTTTGACCATTTTGTATGTGTGTAATATGTTTATACCTATGTGTATTGGTCTGCTTGGCAATTGAAAGATGTACCGAAAGCTTAAAGGGTTATAAATGAATTCACAGTATATATGTTTGAGTGGTGGAATAAGAAGTCGTAACACTTCCGCATATGTCCCCAGCGCCTCATTTCACTAGGCTTTCGGTCTCCAATTTGCACCACAGCAACAAATGATAAAAGTTTTAACGAATCCCTTCCTGCTCTGTGAAAACTCATGTCCCTCCATCAACATCAATCATCATTAAAATGGTTTCCTCTCCGCTTTTCAATCTCATACTTTATAACAATCTGAAATTGAAATTTAGAATAAGTATGTAAATCGAGCAGTGATTTCAATCTCTGTGTGTGTAAATATGTTAGAATCATAAAGATATGTAAGTACATTTTAATCATGGAACGCTGCTATGCTAGATTTAATCGAGCCACTGACAAGGTGATTTCAAATCAGCTACCAACATGATTTTATTAAACACACAAATTCTCACGAGAACTCAGCGAGAGAATAAATAAATCAGATCCACTTTTCAGGAAAGGAAACTTGAAGCGGTTGATAAACATCTCATATCCGTAAGATTATATAAAGTATTAGAAACGCTACAAGAAATGCAAAAAATTTATGATAAACTTTAAAGCCGCTCTACCTTGAAAACTGATTTAAAAGCCAGTTGTTTAATTTGGTGTGGTGAGCCATATTGCGGTCAATATCATATATGATACATGTACTGACATGCTTAAAACGGCCTAGAAAACTCTCTGTAAGACGATCCCACTCAATATACCAACCGATCAGTTGATCAGCTTTCGGAGACGAGATTTCTGATATCTTTATCAAATAAAAAAATATAAGAACTTTTGTTCAAGAAAGAGCCACAAAAAGATCAGAAAGTTTCTGTTAAATAAGGTAAAGAACTACTAAATATGCTATATCACTTTAATTAAATAAGTTTTTTTCATTTTCAAAAGTATTGGTTGAAAATAAATACCAAATAGTGCCAATATGTAAATTCATGAAGTTTGAACTTTAACTGGATAGGATGAAGCCAGAGGAATACATCCATGGTGACTTGAAAATAATGCCATGAAATCTGATACAGATTGGTTTAGTATTTTGGAATTAGGAACATGCTCACAGATGGATCCATTTGAAAGCCTTCAATTTTTTGCTATACGCGCTGCTGATCAATGATTTTCCTCCGTGCAACATAGCATGAATAAACTGTAACAATCAGCTTTCAATTTCTCCCATCGTGTCTCCATGGGGGTGCTATTCCAATTTGTTCAAGCGTATATGTACGTAATATGCCTGTGCCAGATTCTTCGTAAATGAATTCAACTAATGAATTCCATTAGTAGAGAAATGAAGGAATCTAAATTTTTGATTACAGCTCTCAACATTCTGACTGGCCTTACTCTCCATTTTCGATATCCTAAGCCCTAAAATTAGTCCGCATCAACTAAACCAAACAACCTTCAACACCCTACTGCAAAGGAAACAAAAATATGTTGGCCATCGAAGTTAAAAACTAAAGTAAACTTAAACTGCATATTTTATTACCATTAATCAAATTCACATTTTTGGTATTTCTGAAGTTATCCACCTTCCCATTAATTAATGTATTTTCGTCACAAATCGCTTCTATGCTTAAAAAGGAGGAAAAAAAATCCTTCAAATAGCAAGTTCCTTTTTCGTAACCTTCATATTATTCAGAGTTTGGAGATCATTGGACATTTATGGTTAACATTTGCACATCAACTGGTAAAAAAAAAAAAAAAAAAACAAGGATTCCCAAAGTATTATCTATATCATCTAAATACAGGACTGGAAATCAATAGTCCTAAAAGAATTAATAAGAACTGTCAGAAACTGATTACGGAATAGGATAAAGACTGGAAGATCTCATGCTGATAAATTTTTTAGGAGAAAGAAAAATAATCACTGCATAGTATTGCCGTATAGTTAATGGATTCGAAATAACTTTAGTGACCTTTCGATATCGTCAATAAAGCTCTCGTGCTGATATGGAGCTGAGTTTAGGAAGATCGCTGAAACAATCTTACCTAAATGGGTGATGGGACGAGCATAGATAACAGGATTGCAAGCAGTGGCACAAATGAGCTGGACATATCAACAATGGACAAACGACGAGAAGCGTATTCAAGGAGCAATTTAATAGAGCTTTGGTCAGGATGCTCTCTTCCTTTCCTCCCCTCATCATCTTCTTGCTGCCATTCCCTGGCCTTGATTAAGGTACGATTGAGGAGCACACGGGTGTGGAGAATGCCATAACGTTCCCTCCCCCTCCCATCATCCCAAACTTCCGATCCACTCAGCCTCACCCATCTGGCCCCATGCAATCTTCTCAGTATGACCAAGCAATTCACCTTCCAAACGGAGAAACAGAGAAATACACATGCATAAACCCATTTTACCAAATGCGCTGCATACTGTTTGCAGACGGTGGCATCCCTCTTTTCCCCTCTGACCCTTCAACAGAAATATTCTTGTTAAGCGGTTCCACTTCATCTCCACTACCACTCGCAAAAACCTCCGCATTTGACTGCTACCTAAAGATTCATTCTTATATATTCAAGTCAAAGTTGTGTGGGGTTCTGAGAATGGCATAATCCATGCAAATGCTTATCGATTCATTTCAGGTTTACTAGTGTGAGAGTGGAAGGAGAGGGAGGGTTCGGAGGTTTTGTTGCCAGCAGTTGGATGATTTATTCTGATAGTGTTGGACGATTGTAAACAAACAAATAGGGGAAGCAAAGTGTAAACAAAAAAATTAGTAATTGGAGAAGGATAGAGTACAAAGCGACTCCTTTACAGGCACTAACTGCTTAAATGTGGGAAGTCAGACAAAGGAAAAAAGAAAATGGATTAATTGTGCCTTTGAGTGTAATTAGGATGGCGATTTGGATAAAATGATATCAAGTGGCTGGTAGCTTGCCAGGGATTTTGGTGGTGATGGTGGAGTAGTTTGTCTGACACTCTTGTAAATGTGTCCCACTTCACGATTGTGGACATGTATATATTGCAATTACTGCAATGGTGGACAAGAGAACTACGCAGTTACTACTACTACTACTGCTATGCAGGTGAAATGAAATAAAATAACTGAAAGTGACGAAGGAATGTGGATGCAATGGGATGCTGTCTCCAAGAAGTCTATCATGTATCTATCTATCCATTTATTCATTCTAATTCTTCTAATTCTGAATTCCCAATGCAGGCGGTGCACCTTGCTTGGCACCTCACTGGCTGCCTGCAATAGGGCTGCTTTCAACTACGGTGTGCTTCTTTTGAATTAGAGGCCTCAGGGGCAACTTTAATGCCTCAACGGCAACTTTAATGATTCGTTGGCCAGCTGGAGCATACAACCATCCATCCATCACGTGCATATATATATGCATACACATACACATACACACGCACACTTATACACATGTGCTACGTCTCAAATCTTATCCTACCAATGTTTTCATATCGGAACTCTTCAGCTTCCTCCATCACCCAATCAATTCCTGCTTTTATATCAGCTCATTTTTATGGACACCTGCGGTAAAATGAGCTAGCATTGGGAGAACCTTTTTCCAGTATGCTTTCCATGCTTCTTACATGTGGATTGCAGTTGCTGCTACTGCTGTTGCTACAGTTGCTAATTCATTAATAGTGCATTTAATGGTTGCATAGCGTAGTGTAGCATGGCAATTCAGATAAATACATTCTCATACAGATAAATACATTCTCCAACATCTCTTATTGTATACAGTATATTGACACACTAACAAACATATATCAAACACTTGTATCCTATCCAGAAATATATACAACTTCTGCAAATAAGAAAGACTTCTTAAAAGCAATGAACAGCTATTTCAAATCATTACAAGGAATAGCATTGATGCAAGCAGTTTTCGCAAACAAACCGTACTATCACAAGAATCAGTAATACCGACCATTTGTAACGCTCCTACGATGTATGTGGCAATGTAGAAATGTTCAACTTACGTAGCGGTAACATTCAATATCAAATACTTCTAGTAAAACAAACCAATGCAATGCAGAACACTGACAATTTTTCTGAGATGAAGTAGAAGACGACACTGATCGCATTTCTTGAATTATCTCCATGTATGTAAATGTAATAGTTTTAAGTTTAAGAAGGTTTCTCCACCCCATCCTATTCATCAATTAAGATTCTATCTACTCTTCACTCTTCATGTGATATGGAGTTGATCCCTCGAAGGAGCAAATTGTGAACCGAAGGGTGCAATACTTACAATATTTGAAAATCATTTAGCAACTCTTCCTATCACTTCGGCTCTCTTTAAAATTAAATTAGAAAAATTACACTTTTTATCGTCATTCTTCACTACTTCTATATAATTCCAAACTTTTCCACCTCTTCATTCTTACATTAGATGGTCCAAGTATTTACTTTAAACGAAGTATGAATAACGTCACATACAAATAAACAAGCAAAACGTACTAACAACAGGTGAGTGATGGCATACGGTAATCGCTAAAGGTAACTGGTTCCCAGTGGTCTGAGGTGTGTCGCCAATAACATAGTACGGTGGCTATTTTAATGGCTCTCTTTCATATTTCAAAATATTACAGAATATAAAAAACGGTCCTATTTTCAAAGTTCTAAATTATCTTTTTAAAATTATGATCAACAATGACTTTTGCCACTGTCTCATTGCAATGAACTAATTCCTTCGTTAGTAGTGATAATCTCAACCCAGATATTCCGATAGCGAAAATGTGGAATTAAAATACCAAACAATAATTTTCAGATTGCTTAAATTGAAGTAGAAAAATACTTCAAAAAATTAGAAAGAATATCGGCATTTATCCATCTCTACTACTACAAGAAAATCTGGACATATTAAAAAATACAGTGTGAAAGATGAAAGAAATTGGAGGCAAGGCTACTCAGATAACGACTATTTCAATTCCTATAAAATATTCGAACTAAATATCCTAAGATGTAATTCTGAAAAAAAAGCAATATCTATATGCCTAAAGATGCACAACTTACTATAAAGTGGATGGTCATTGAAGATCGAAATATTTCAAAGTTTCAAAGCAAAATTTCAAAGAGAAGCCAACCACTAATCCGGAACAAGCTGCTGTTTGTTAAAATGGCTATTATCATTTTTATTTGCTGACCTTTCCTCATTAAATATTCAAATGAATTTATTTCATAGTCCCTGGTGTTTCATCCTATGTGCCGGCAATGCCGCATTTCGGATAGGACATACTCCGACTGTCACTTCAAATAACCCATTGTACCTTTCTCTTCTTAATCCACAGTAACTAGAGAGACGGTGTTGGATAAATGCTCGGCGCTCATCCTAATCTATCATGAATGAACCCAATGCTCTCCCTTCTTCTGACCCTTCCTTGTCCCTTTTTTTAACCTATTCATATGCATAACTAAGTCCAACAAAATTGGTAGGTTGGATTAATCTAACGAACAATTGCATCCATTAGAAAACAATAAACTTTTGAAGTCTATCCAGAAATTTCCTCCTGAAATATTTAAGATTTTTGACAGCAAAGCAATTATTTCAAGAGCAAAACATATTAAAATCTATGTATTTCCATACATTTTCTCTGATATTCATAGCTTCTTTTAAATTGTATGCTATTAAAGATGATCACTGAAATCAAAACCAATACTGTAAGTGTAAATTTGTTTGTAAATTTGCTAATTACAACCTGATAATTATCACTACTAATTTTAGTGTTTTCACTATTGATTTTGATTTTCATAGAAGAACATGTAAAATAAAAATCATTTCTACCTGTATATTTCATCCCAACTATATTACCAAATCCATACTGAGAGAGCACGACCCCTAGTTAGAAAGAATTTTCTGCAACTCTTCAACTTGTTGTCATTTTTCCTGCCGGAACGAACTTAACATTCTGTTATGAAGATTTTGTTACCAGTGATTACACAAATCAATACCAGCAGTATTTAAGTCTTAGGAAGACCTTCCTGCAGGTGTCAAATTATTTTTGGTTTGCTGATGTTAAATGAACCATAAAAAATTCTCATGGTCTTTTTATTTAAACATTTCTTAATAAGCTAATGAGGCGAACTGATTTCAGCTAATTGATAGAATTTTAACAGGATCAAAATGAAGTGATTGAATATTTCTTAAAGTTCATTAATTATTACTTTAAAAAATAACAAAGTTAAGAAATAATTGACTTGGGAACGTTTTATTCTTGTAGCGTGTCGTTTTTAGCATTTGAATAGCACGGGAGTGAAAAATGAGTGTGGTATACTGCGTGCATTCATCTATTCATCACTTTACAGAGTGAAATTACATGCTTACAATTTCAAATTAAAAAATAATAAGCGTAAAAAATGAGTAAAAACAAAATTTTCTCTTTACGTATGTTCGATGATGCATTTACCGCATTGGAACTGCTATGTAATCGTAACACAACAATGTCGCACGGCTAGAATGATTAATAGCTCATTGTTGATCATCTTTTCTAAATCACTAAAACCGAGATGTTGTCAATTTGCCTGCCCACCTTTTACGAAAACATTTTAAGATACCAAAAACTCCGCACATCTTCTAACTCAGAGCGAAGAAAATTTCCTGATACTTTTTTCATATTATAAAAAAATCCGTATTGCATTATTTGAAAAATTCCTATTTTTAATACTTTTCTGGGGAATTCACCGCTTCAGTAATTAATATGAGAAAATAACTGACCGTTATTCAAATCATAAATGGAGATGAAAATATCAATTAAGTTGGGGAAGTTAAGATAATTTGACAGCTATGAGTGGGACTGATCATTCATAACGTTAGGTAACTAACTTCTCAGCGAGCTTACTGGTTATCGATTCTTTTAAACACATTATTTTTGCTGGCTCATCTATTCATTTCACAAATAAAAATAATGTCGGATATGTTACCAATTTCTGATTTAATTTCCATGGAATTCACTTACAGCAATCAATTTAATAAACGCTCATCCGCTTGAAAGATGGAACTTCGTCAGATAAGTTCGAACAGCGCTGTAAACTGGAATTGTGCCAATGTCATCACTTTGCAATATGTTACAATTTTTCGTCGATTGTTCTGTTGATGAGAGAAAAACATAATCAGTTAGCTTTATATTTTTAATATAAGCTCTACAAGTACAGAACAATGAACTTTCACGAAATTACGAAATGAAATAACGAAGGAACGGTTCCTCTCAAAAACCGTTCCTTATTCGTTCTCCTTTTCAATTTGGAAAAATTAGTCCTTTGACAGAAAGAAGTGATGAAGCCTTCTAATGATAAAAGGAGTAGTTAATCGTGACTGGTGCTACGAGCTCTTTCCAAAAGCCATCATTGAATGTTATACATCCGCCTATGGCATGAAGCGCACAATGGAGTCCGCCCTCGATGACACCCGTAACTGAAATATAAACATCAATGAACTTCTTGGCCATTCATGTAATTACCATATTTATTGTAGAATTTGCACCACTATTCGTTCTTTTTCTGTCATTATTCCAGTTTAACTTCATTATTCAATCGTCCAGTAGAAGCACTGCTTGTGTTGGTCAAGACCGAATTTATACCTATACATCACTTTTTCAAATTTTTAAAATAAATCAACTTACGATAGTGGGCCCTTATATTTATCTAGCCAACAGAACCACGAACAATTTCTCTTTTTTCATTAACAGAGCCTTAAAATTTGTTGTATTTTCTAAATTTATCCTTCAAAACAACTATTTAGAAAAAAATTTTGTTTTCTCATAAAGGCTGATATATTAAATTTAACTTTTAATAATTGAACTTGCGATTTGCACTGATACAACAGTTCGTCTGTCATCGTTTTTTTTAAATCATTTTCGGATAAATTTGCTTGCTTTCGCAATATCTCCTTGTTTGTAATATCTGTTATTTGCCAATACATTTATAGTTCGGCCAGTATCGTCAATGTAAAAGGTTTGAAAATTGGTCATATATAGTTGAAGTCTCCTCCATTTAAAATATATTCTAATCAATTAAAGTGAACTTATCACAGATCATGATCAGCTTAACGAGCGAAAATGCTTTCAGTAATGTTTTCACACGAAATCTGTTCTATTCTATTATAACATTACACAGCATTGATTACCAGCAGTTCTATGATTAAACCGATTTTGTAAAAAATAGATCGAAATGCCTACGTGGTGTAGATGAACAAACAAGTAAGCTTCAATAGAGAATGAGATATCAGATGCACCAAATATGGATACTATCAAAAATCCGTTAAAATATGCTTTAGTTTGCCGCAAGAAGATGATATTTTTTGTAAATTTTGGTTTTACCAGAATAGGCTTAAAAGTTATGGTGAAAAAGTTTTTATTATGAATTTTGTAAAGGTATATTATGTGAGTGAAATTAAAAAGCGTATATATACAACCAGCAGATGCATTCAATTCATAATCACTGCAACACTTACGACAAATTGAGATATTGGGTTTATTTTCAATATGATTTAAAATTGCAAATCCCTTCACTTAATATGTATTTCAGCAATGAATATTTGAAGGAAGCTGGAGTTGCATATAGAGAAATTTTATTGTCGAATTTAGTGTGAGGGGAAGTTTAACATTTCGAAATGCTTTTTATTAAAAAAAAAAGGAAATATAGAGAAGTTCGTTATCGCACTAATCAAATACTGAATTAATACAGTAAATGTAAAATGATGCAATCATCAAAATTTGCTCTTTACACAGAAAATATCGAAAAGTCAAAAGCCTAATTTTCAGTAACAGTGTATTCAGAATTTTATCATATCTTAGTTCCCAAGAAACGATGCATTTATCATTATACATTATTTCTAGTGAATCATATTTCTAATAACTTTCTCATTGCGAACAAAGTTATCACAGTACACCTTCGACTCATCGATTATCATTGCTGCTGTCTTTGATGATTAAATTTTGAAAAAAAATCGAACCTCTATCAGAAATCGAGAACTTCAACATGAAAATTATAACGAGATTTGAGAAGATATTAAAAGAGAAAATCAGTCAACGCATTCTGATTACACTCAATTCTCTGCAGTTAGTGTAGATTAATGATGATATTTTAAGAGTTTGTTAAAGTCTTCAAACCCAAAATCATTGAGAGACACTACACTAGCCTATTTTGAAAACTTAGGTGAACACGGTTATCCGTTTTGTTTTTTTGTTTTTTAACCTGTCCTCCTAATCCATATTCTCTTCTTTCACAAAAGATAATCTATGTTTATCACCACCGATAACATTAAAGAACTTGCAAAAATTTTCTTTCAGTACCCGCTTTTTCAGTCTAATCAAAAAATGCACCAAATAAATTGTAATTATGTAACTATATTGTTCAGTATAAATGATCTAATTACTCATTCATCAAACTTCATATACTTCGTAAATGGTATGCGAAAAAAATTAAGGTTTAAATTCAATCTAAATGTGTTGGAGAGGACAGTTATATACCTCCTAAAATTCATGTGGAATACATGGCTTTATTGTCAGATTAATGCGTATGACTCAAATTAATGCATCAAATAAGGGGATGTGCAATTAAAACTTTTTCTATCTTCTATAATAGTTTTATCGTTAGAATTAGAGGATGGCTTAGAAAAGGAGGGAGAGATCCATTCCAGCTTTACCACGCTTATCTTCTCTTTCATCAAGCAGTGACTCATTCCTGTTTGGGAGGGTTATCTATGGAAACAGCACATTCATACGCATTCATATAACTGTGTGTTGTTGTAGAACCATTTGATGAGATGGGATATATATATATATATATATATAATAGCCAAATAAATGTAAAAGCATTGGCGGTAAAGAAAGCCATTTCCTCCTGTCCATTACAGCAGATTCATTTGCGCAAATAACTGCCTACTTTTTACCCTCAAAACATATCTGACGTCAAACGTCAAGATATATGAATCAAGATCAAGATATATGGAATCAGTAAGCAGTAGTGAATTGATGAGCGTCAATATGAAACTACCATAATATTATGATAAATAAGACGATGATGTTCTGCGGTGTAATCTCGAACTGGAGCCATTCAACGTTCAAACATGCAAAAGCACGCGTATAAACAAATTTTTTACATCATCAAAATGCATGTTGCTAATAAAAAGGTCTAATTGTCGTCTGTTAGTTGAATAAATCGCATTAGTACAGATCGCAAATGGAAACATCGATCCATACTAATGCCTGTTCAATAAATTCGACTGCTGAACCAGCAACACACTTCACATTTCAGTATATTGAGAAGACATTAATTACCCCGACAAGCGTTGAACAACGGCGAAAGTAATTAGAATTTCGAGCTTTTGACATATTAATTATCAACTTCAGGAATCAATATAGTTTGTATTCCGCATTGGGCACATTTTTCTTTGCTTCAAAATGAAAGATAATTTACATTTCAAGTTAAAATGTAATGCACTAAGAATTTACAAAGAATAGGAGCATTTTAGAACTTTTGAGCCGCTCAACATCCAACAATTCATTTCGCTTGTTTTGGTTCCTGTAATCCACCGGGAATAGATTTTGAAGTAAAACTAAACTGATGCATTTGATTGATTGACGATTTGGTTTGGAAGCTGGCAATTGAATTCAGTACGCCTCTCAGAAGAACGCATAGATTTGTGTCTGTCCGTATGCATCACTCCTACTCATCTTCAATGACAGATTTCAATGAGGCTCTCGGCAATTTTTGATGCTTCAGAAATTGAAATGCAGTGCTGCACTGCGAAATGATCCCAGCGGTCACATTTATGTCTGTCTTAGTTCGTTGATACACTCATGGGATTCACGGTTCTAAGAAGAAATCCAGAAACTGGCAAAGACAACGATGATATCCACAATTCCGCTTATTAGCCAGGCCAGATACCATCCTCACACTACTAGATATCTTAGCTACATGAACAGGGATGTCCTACATTCAATATGAAAAAAATCAACTTTAAACTGCATTAAATGAGAAGCATAAGGTACTTAATTAATTGATTTAAATACACAAAAAAGACTGATCGTGCAAATATTTAAAGGCATGTATTTATAAACGATATGTACCCAGAATCCATCAAGTTCTACTTTCAATAACGCTGCTGTCTCGAAAGTACGCATTTAAAACTTTGTAGTCCAAGTGAAAAAACAGAAAAATTCACGGAGTGCACGAATACCGTTTTCTTCTCATAAATAAATATCATGAAAAAGTAAAAAGTATGTTATTGATCGCTTATGGCATTTATTGATCAAAATGGACACTAACGAATGCAACATTACATTTTTCGATACGCTTGGCAATCACATTGCTTATTAAAAATTTCAGCAATTATTTTTGAATTTTTGTTTCCATCAACCCTATTTAGAGTTTAACTTCACTCATTACAGTTATTGCGCATTGGAATCTTCATGATACAGTCATTAATACAGTGATAACTTGGAGATCTTAGTAACTGTTGCTGTCCAAAAACTTTAGGTAGAAATGAATTGATTATCAGAGAACTGATATAAAATAACCAATTATAATTATGTGAAGCATTCATTCTTTGTAATCCTTACTTTGAATGGGTTGAAGGCATGTAGGAAAAGAAGACTAGAAGAGATGAGATGAAGAAATTATTAATAGGTATGTTATAATGGTATAGTATTGCAGAATCAATTCACGTCGAAAACCAGTGTTATGTGGATCGCCGACAACGGTAAATACGCAGCAGAGGAAATAGAAGGGCAAAGGAAAAGGAAAGAGGAGCGGATAATGTTGTTGAAAAACGCAAATAAATGAAAGGCAGAATGATTGTAATTAAGGCCGTTCTGAGATTGCATTGCTTGTCAGTTCCTTTCTATTAAAGCTCGTTCTTAACTTTCGAAACCGGAACTGATTTCGTGCATATGAAACGAAACACAAGCATCTGGTAGCAGTGCATGTTGATGGAATGAAGATGATATTTTGTGTGCGTTGATTGGCCAGTTGTTGAATTTCTGAATTTTGGCTATGAATTGCATCTAAACAGACCGCATTGTGAGCTTGTTTCCGGCTTACACTTCACATTTCGTGAAAATTTCAAGCTAGAATATGGTAGTCTGCAGGGACTTCCGGGACATACACAAACGATAGTTTAGAACAATTGTCCAGTACACTGCTCAATTTCAAAAGAGATTTTTATCTATCAATTTTAATTTATTTATCCGTATGAATTTCAGGATTCGAATTATCACAAATTACCATGCTTTCCTGTGTTGAAGACCAGTTCAACAATCACCATTTTTTTGAGGCCTGTTTATCAACAGTAGCAGGGATCCTGAAAAATAAACGGTCCAGAGTTGATAATACATACGATTAATAAATCCATATTTAACAACAATATTTCCAGTCGAATATGATAGGAATAAGGAAAGTAAAATTCTGTAAACGAGTATTTAAATCATTCTTGATACTAATTACATGTGAAACAATTCAGCTGAAACAACAAACAACGAGACCTTAGAACTGCAATGGTTTACCGCAGAAGAAAATTTGCCCCATTAGAGTTAATAGTTCAAGTCCTTTTAGGAACTTACGTCTTGTCATCTGTTACTTGTTCGTTATTGTCATCGAAATATAACTGAGAGTCATAAGAAGTCCTGTGCAAACCCCGATTCAGTTAAAATTTGTTAACATATTGAAATGTTCAATGTTGCCAAAAACCCTCCTTTCATACTTCAAGGAAGGTTTCATTTAAACCTTCCTTCCCCTTAATAAATCTCGAAAATTGAGTCTGAATGATCCAAAAAATGCAAACTGATGCCTCACATATACTAAGGACCAACCAATCCTTCGACTCTTCTGACTTCAAAAAGAAAGTTTGCACAAAACCTGCCCTCACCCAAACTTCTCTTGGACGGTATATTAGTTAAAGGATCGGCTGATGTAGGCTACGGCGGCTGGTCATTGTGAAAATAATCCTACTCTTTCAGCGAACTACGGTTGATGTCCTCGGTAGGTGATTGGTGACGGGGAGTGAGGGGTAGAAGGTGTTCAAGGCCATCCATTGTATCATAGTATATAGAATATGCTACTGCCACGGACAAGGCGGGTTTTCCGCACGGTCAAATTCCGTTAGCACTGGACAGTATCAGTCGGTATTTCACGGTTAGTCACTGTCTTCACTTTATCAACGTGCTATACGTATGGGAGCGGTGGAACAAGCGCGTTTGTGTTTTGGATAGTGGTTGCAGAGGTTTATTGTTATTTTGTAGATCTTGGTTTAATGTGTGCATGTATTTAAGGAAGTTGATTTGTTGTAAATTCTGTTATAGCGTGGCGTGGCTGGAGTTGTTGGGATGAAAATGAACGAAAGTCAAACAGTGAGACAGCAGGGTCCTAAGCCTGCTGGCAGGTACTTTTATTTGTTTCCTAAATAAAGTAGCCTAACATTTGCCTCATCGGTGGTGATACGTGTTTCGATACGTATGCTCTGTTCGTTGCAGTAGGTATAAGAAATCTTTACTTTCGTATCAGTGACGCACTGACAACTGGAGCTCAGTGCTACTGAATGTACTATTGTCCAAGATTTATCTCTTCATGAAATTACTGTTGCTGTGTAAAAAATATGAGTTGGTATCATACTTAGTTGTATCAAATTACTGAAAATCGCCTTCAATGTTCTTGTTATTGCTATGATTTTATGATAGATTATATGTGAAAGCAGTATTTGCTGGCTATAAACGTTCGCAGCGAAATCAGCGTGAACATACATCACTTCTAAAACTGGACGGAGTTTACAACAAAAAAGATGCTCATTGGTGCGTTTCTCACTGCACTCACAGTACTTTTAATCTTTCATAAATTTACTATATTATATGCATTTCAAGAAGTTGGACATTTTGTTCCGAATTTGGAACTTGGACATTTTGTTCCACTGCAGAAAATGTAGTTGGTTAATGTAGACATTAAATGCGATTGTTTCTTCATCGAGAATTTCCTTCATTGAGTGGAGATGCGACCCTAATTCTGCTCTTTGTCACGTGTCCTAATTCTGCTGTTGTCAAGTGAGTTAGAATTAGGACGCTGCAACGTAGTGTTGTTATGAAGCTATATTGGAATTAGATTTGTGGGGCCTGTAGTTGGAAGTAGATTTCAAATAAGTAATATCAAATTTTGGCTTATTTTGTCAATTCTACTTTGAACATTATTTTTAGGTATGTGGGGAAAAGAGTTCTCTATGTTTATAAAGCACATAAAAAAACAAGAGTGCACGGCAAAACACCAAGTCGCGTACGAGCAATATGGGGAAGAATAACTCGAGTACATGGCAATGTGGGTACAGTGAAAGCAAAGTTTTGCAGAAATCTCCCGCCAAAAGCGATGGGCAAACGTGTGCGCGTGGTAAGACAAAATATTAAATAAGTTGTCGTCTTAATCATTGTACAATCGAAATTCACAAACGCATCTATGGCTATCAAATGCGGAAATTTTGAGAGCTTAATTATTCATAGCGACGGCTATAAAAGTGTCGGATCATTTGAAAACAAGTTTATTCGGCCGTTGAAAGTAAATACTTTTACTGTCGGCATCATTTTCATTTTTTGCACTACAGTTGTTTTTTAGATGCTGTACCCTTCAAATATTTGAAAGAAACATGAAGCACGGACGCAGTTTTGATTGTTGTTATTTTCTGTTCAATTTTCGGAAAAGAATAAATTTTTAATGTTTGATTCTGTGGGTAACATATTAATGTTGCATCTACTACAAATGTTATTTTGTTTCTCATTAGGCTGATTTCATTCCTTATCACTTATCATCCGGGAGCCTATATCTTTATCTTAATGGTGGAGATTTCTGCTTGATATTCTACAAGACTTGTAAAAGGATTTGATAAGCCTTCATGAGATTTTACAGGTTAGTAACGGTGGTGTGATTCAATATGTGGGCTTAGTCTCTTAGATGTATAATCCGAGCTTTCAGTTTTGGGTTTAGGAAGCCAGATACAAAGTTTAAACTTGGCAGAGTATGGCTCCGGTGCAACGGACGACGAGAAGTCGACCAGTTGGTTTAAGCTCACATCGTCATCATTTTGGCACGATGATGAGTCGTCAGCAAGTTCGTTCGTAATATTTTTGTGTTGAAAAATTAGGTGGTAGATTGATAATCGTGTTTTGGACATAGTCTTTTTAAGGATGGAGAAAAGCGTGTTGCAAAATTTAAATAGTGTAATTTATCCTGGTGAAGAAATGTTTGTTTAGTAACAGTTACGGAAGGACATCACGTAAGTTGTATCTGCATTACGAGAAGATAGCATAATATGCTTATCATTATTTGCAGTTGATGCTTGTTCAGCATTATAACACCTCTGAAATCAGTTGTTGTGTCAAATACACAGTTTTTGGATTTAACGTTTTGTTCTGGATTATTGGTTTTGCGCTGCTCGCAGTCGGTGTTTGGGCTCATTTTGAGAAGAACAGTGCTTATTCGCATCTGAATAAAGCATCAAAATTTTATCTTGATCCAGCAATATTTCTTATTTTTGCTGGTAAGAAATAACTTTTGAAATGCATTATGTTAGATTTTGTTTTACTGTTCTATAAACTCCGGTTTCAAAACCGGAATCTTTCAGAGATGTAAGGTCCAGTCTTTTCTTTTTTTTTCCACAGGATGCTAAAACATGGCCCCCTTCCTTTAATTTCCGATGTACGAATTTATACTGCACTAGAATTGATTAAACATGAAGGAAAATAAAAGCTGTAAAAACTCCAGGGGCATTATTCAGCAACGAATAAACTATAGTTTTCTGCTATTGAAGTCATTATTTCAATTATACGATTATTAAGTGGGTTATATAGAAGGTTTAAAATTTTTCAGGTGGTCTGATATTCTTAATCGGCTTCAGTGGTTGTGTTGGTGCCTTAAGAGAAAATACATGTTTCTTGGCTTTGTATTCAACAATTATCGGACTTCTTTTACTAGCTGAGATGGCTTTAGTTGTTTTGGTGTTTGCTTCCAAGGACTGGATCACTCAAGAATTTTTTACTAGATTGGATGACACGGTATATTTAATGTAGTTGTTTGTATTTACTTATTTTATTATTGTAATGTTAGATAGTGGGATTTACCATGTCAATATTTTAATACTTTGTAATCTGTTTGTTATGGAAGGCAGTCCTTTGAGCTCTCTATACATATCACACATCGCTAATCTTGTGATATGGTTTCAGTTCTTCTAACTCATTAGGAGTTATATCGAACTTCGTATTGCTTAGTAACATATTTCGTGCATGCTGTTTCATTCATTTTGTTCCACTGTGATCCGTTAGCCTTTTTACTGAAACAGAAACTAGCACTATTATGTGAACAGTACAAGGAATTTCGATAAAATGTAGTAGGGCATTTACATGAATTACATGACATTACAATTCTAACTAGAGAATATTTTTAAGACATTCTTTTTAGATGACATAATATTACATTCGTCAAGCAATTTCCCCCAAATTTCAGGTGATAATGTACAGGGATGATCCAGATCTGCAGGCGCTCATTGACTGGGTGCAAATCTATTTCAAATGTTGTGGTATGAGGTCACCAAACGACTGGGATATGAACATATATTTCAATAAATCATCACAGCAATTTTCGTCACCTGAAGCTGGTGGCGTACCGTATTCGTGTTGTAAAAAAATGCGTGGTGTGGATGGTGGTCCCATTAATTTCTTTTGCGGTCATGGCGCTAGACTTTTTAAAGAAGTAATTCCTTGACTCTTTTGAATTCTTAAATGTTCAAAATTAATTTGAATGAAGTAAAACTAGGAGCAACAACTGATTTTATATGCATCATCTGATTATATATATGCAGGGTTTAAGTGATACGATACACAGTGAGGGATGTACACCCAAAATTGAAAATTACTTATCACAGAATATGACTTATGTCGCCGTTGCAGTGATTCTTGTTGCAGTTATTCAAGTAAGTTTTATGGTTTCTTTCTACCTTTGTCAAAGACGAGTGAAATAAAATAATTTGGTAGATGTCGTAATAAAATCTTTTCAGAGATTCATGTTCAGTTCTCTGCATATTACGAATTGCAGTGTTTGGTAAAATCTGAAGGCAGATTTTGACCTCTTTCTTTCCATATAATCGTTGTTTTAAAGACTCAATATGTTCATCTCTTTAGATTCTGGGTATACTGTTTGCTCAAAACCTTCGTAGCGATATCTTTGCACAGCGTGCAAAGTGGTATACTGGTAGATAAAGCAAAAGCGGATAAAGCTGATAATATATTTTAAATCAAATGTCCAAAGTATTTTAGTGGTTGTGATTTGTCATAAGTTTCTGTCAAAGTGATGGTTGATTTTTTTATTAATTTTAGCTACCAACGCTGCCCTTAGCAATGAATCTGTTTTGTTTCTTCCTAGATCTGGTAGCTTTTTGTGTTTTGCATTCCTTACGACTCCACACTTGGTAAATCTATTCTATCTTTTAAAAAAAATCTGCTCGATACTGTACATTTGCAGCTAGGTCATCGTTGATCTCAATTTTGTACAGAAAGACTTCATCGGATCTTGGTTTAACAAAATTTTTTCTGCATTGGAGTTCTTAGGTGCATCAAATTAGTTCAATGTTCCACGCTTATAAAAGTGCATATTTCAAATGATTTCTTCTGTGTTTTATGGATATTACTAGACAGCTTATCTGTGGAGGGCTGTACAAACGGCTGTTAATGTCGGAACAGATAGGTACATTTAAACTGCGATCTTAGCTTCTAATCGAGATTCTGTTAGGTTTTGTGTGTATATTGTGATATTCATTCTGCAATAAGCATTTTCTATATGGTCGTTCACATCTTCAACATTTGGAATTGATTTTTATTGGTAATTAAGGATAATTGCCGTGTTCTTCACCAAAGATTCTTTCATGTATGCAGGCAGGACATCTTGTCAAATTACTACAGATTTTCTTGCATTTTGATAACACGTTCTGCCATTGTATGTTATTATGCTCTTTCATATGTATGTGTAATATTTTGTTTTGTTTTAACGCTGGCTTTCAATAAATCTGGCTGCATTTAATCTAAGCAGATCTCAGACGTCCATTAGTCAGATGAACCAGTACAACCAGTACTATATCTTTGGTGTGATTGGTATGTTTTTGAAAATTTCGTTATTCTCCATTGAAAAATGAGAAATCTTTGGAAGAATACTAACATTTAACTTTAAAGCTTCTAACTTTAAACTTTAAACTTTAAAGCTTTTGAGGATAACAATATTAATTATTGGTAAGCTAATATATCTTCATCACAGTGAGCTATTGCTACTCTTCGCTAAGTCTGTTCTAATTCAAAGAATAACCTTTGTAAGAAAAGACCTGCTTTTGCATCTCGACGATGATTGGAACAAGAACAGTTAGTGGGTCGAAGCACCACAGTCTTATGTCTAGAAACTTCAGAAGATTTAGAAATATATTGCTGTTTTAGAAATATACTGCTTTAAAAATAAGTTGGTAAATACCATGAATAAGTTAAGGCTTCCCGCGCCAGGTTTCACAGGTTCTACTTAAATAAGAGCTTCTTAAGTTATTTATGACCTTTATGAATCCCATCTTAAGGAGTAGAATATACATTTATGTCTGATATGTAATGCTTTGGAAGAATACTGCATCTATTTATTGTCGATTCTAATGAAGTCATTGCGTTATTATAAATAAATTAGAAATCGCAGTTCAGAGCAGTTAAGGGCGACTTTTTAATCACGATTTTAGGACGAACATCATTCAAGAAAAAAGGACCAGGGAAAATCAAGCAAAAAAAGGGCGTGTGGTTTCTCCCCATCTTCAAGAAATCTGATCTTTGGAATCCAGAATCTCCTTTATTAGAAGTAGTTGCAGGCATTTTCAAAGTGTGTCATTTCACTCCAAGAATCCGTTTTTTGTAAGTTTCTGACCGTTATATTCAACTTATTCTCATTTTTTGGTATAAAATTATAATTAGTTGTATTCATGAACAGGTTTTTCCCTTTCTATTAAAATGATTGTTGTACGAATTCAGTACCTTAGTTTTGCACACTATAATTTCACTTTCAGAGTGTCGCTTTCAGGGTCGTAGTGCAATCACGAGTTTGAGGGAGATTAACTGAGTTCCTCATTTACAAATGGCACAAAACCTGATGAGCATTAGTGGCGCTGATGTTTATCCAGTACATAATTTTCGTCAAGAAAGAAAGGAAGAGCGTACTAGAAGGGTATGATCATTTTAGCACTTGCAAATTTCTAATTTTCAAATTGGCGATAAAATAATATAGTATTTAATCTACAAAAAAAAGTCAAATACTGATTATTATAGAACACTTAGGTTCTGATGCTTACCGCGGAAGAACGCGCAGAATTACCTTTCCGAAGGATTTCTTCACTTGCATTCATCGTTATTATGCTCATATTTGGCTTACCATTATGGTGGCAGACAACTTCAACATACCGAGTACCATTTCGTATTTTTCCTTCTGACCAACAGATCGCTTTGCCAGTATGTTTTCCGAAGCTTACACATTTTCCACCTTTTATAGGTTTACTGTATAACTCATTTTTCTCGAAAGTCTCCAGCAAAGTTGATATAAGTTAGATGAAAATTATTCTCAAAAACGTTAATTTATTGTAACACCAGGTGTATGTATCAATAGCTAGTTCGTATTCATCTATGAAATCCCATGTTGGTCATGCAATTACTATACTTCTGAATGAACTTTCTGAGCTTCCAGAAATCGATCGACTGCACCTTGTATTTAAATTGAATCACGAAGATATGGTTTGTCTTGGTTCCTCATATTTTTGATTTTGCAGCTTTTACATGTATTCTTTGTGAACTTCGTGAGTCCTTTAGGCAGTTTGTTAGGTAGATTTATTCAGGATACTTTGGAATCCATTTCAAGAACTAATACGGAAAGGAATAATTTTTTTGGAG